GCGACTTTTACTGTCCACGCCAGTATCAGTTTGTACGCAAGTACATACGTGCTTGCGAGGTTTGCCATCGGGTGAAGCCTAGTCCTTCATCCCGTGCACCATTGCAACCTCTGCCTGTTCCGACAGAGTTCTGCCAGTCCGTTTCAATGGACTTCTTCTTCCGTTTTCCTGAAGCCGCTTACAAGAATAATGGTATTCTTGTGTTTGTTGACCGGTTCAGCAAGATGGTGCATCATGCTGCTGTACCCGAGTCGATCAAGGCTCAACGTTGTGCTCGTGTCTTCCTAGAAACGGTCTTTAGACTCCACGGGTTACCCCGTGAACTCGTATCCGACCGTGACCCTCGGTTCACGGCGGAATTTTGGCAAACCGTGTTCAGTTCTCTTGAAACACGATTGAAGATGTCTACTTCTGACCATCCCGAAACAGATGGTCAGACGGAACGTGCGAACCGTGTCCTCGAAGAGATTCTTCGAGGATATGTCCACTCGTTTTCGAGTTGGAGCGAATTCCTACCCATGGTGGAATTCGCCATCAATCATTCGGTGCATGCTTCAACACAGCACACACCGTTTTACGTGAATGGTTTACGCTATCCACGTGTGACCGCCCTTCTATAGTGTGACTCTTGGATAAGGGGGGAAGGGACTCGCTCGAGCAAAAACCGTTTTGGCTCTTGCTCATCACGTGTCGACGCAAACGTCGTCACGTATGATGCCGATGTCGACAATGTCGACATCGATGAAGCACACCACCTCAATAATAGCGACAACGCTATTATTGGCTCGGATGATGATGACGATGCTGGTATATTCAGCATCGTCAACGATTATTCCAGCGAGGAAGAAGACAACCTCGCTGAAGAAGAGAGCAATCTCTTAGCAGTGCGCACGAAGCGCACTGAAAGACAAAACAAAGAGTCAGCAGAGAACCTCCTGCTGACTCGAGAAGCGGTAGTCCGTTTCGTATAGGACTCCATCGCAAATGCGGTGGACCGTCAGAAATGGAACGCAGACAAGAATGGAAGAGCGAATGTTCTTTCATTTATAGTTAATGACCTAGTAATACTGTCTACGGTAAACTTACTTGGACATGCAGTCACTAGTGTCGGCAGTAGTAAACTACTGCCGAAATACATTGGGCCATTTCGAGTGTTGCATCGCAAAACAAATGCATACACACTCGAACTGCCACGTACGATGCGCACGCATCCTACGTTTTACGTGGGGAGGCTTAGGTCGTACTGTCAGTACGAGCCTTCTTCTTCCGATGAAGATAGCCCCCACGTTCAAGAACATCCATCAAGTTCTTGCGTTTGCGCTCCAGACGATCCGTCTGGTCGCGCAGATATGATACCTCGGAACTCGACCGAGATATCTCCCCGCGAGCTGTCGCCAGCTCGCCGAAAAGGAGCGGACATCCCGCTCGACCTGAAGCTGCGCCGTGGCATAATCGGCGCGATCCCTCGCCCGATCAGCCTCGTGACCCTTGCGGTTCTTCCGCACGGTGTCGGTCAAAGCGTAGCGTCGGTCGCGCTCGTGCTTCAAGTCATCGCGCAATTCATCGATTGCGCGATCCATCTCGTAAGGGTCGAGATGGTGGGCCTGGGGTTCTGGAGAAGGTCTTTCCTCCTCCACCACATCCTTTGGTGGATGCTCACGGTGATCAACGCTTTCTAGTGGAGCTTATCTTAAATCACCGTAATAATTCAGGATCAAGGACGAGCTACCTCGTCCAGTGGCGGGGGTATCCACCCTCTTGGAACAGCTGGGAGCACCGCTCTCAGCTGTTGATGGACGTTGAAGGTCTCGTCCGCCAGTATGACGAGACTCATCTGATTGGTCCGAGGGCCCATCGGTAAACACGCGCTTCTGGCGCTCGTAGACGGATTGAAAGTTTGCAATCGCGTCCCGCATCTCATCCGAGATGTGAGCCCTTCCCCAGGGCGAATTTAGGGGGAAACATTTTCCTATGAGCACGCTGCGAGTTGTCAATACAACTCGCACAAGGTTCACCCCATGTGAGGCAAGGGATTCCTGCCTCACGCGATAAACGATGCAGCCGGTATCTTGCACCGTTGGCGGTCATTTTTTAACGTAAGGCGTACTGCCTCAAATATTTGGATCCACGCTTCACGTCCAGAACTTTTAAAGTTTTGGACGAACGCATTACACGCCACCAAAGCGAGTTCATGTCACACTTTAGGTTGCTGTTGTCACATCGATGCTTGAAAAAAGCATCAAGATAGAAGTCTTCTTTAGCGCGAAAGTTACTCGCGCTGGAGGACAATCCATGAAGCTCGGTCGCGTCGAATAATAAAATTCGATGGTGCTGGTTTGTCTCGCGAGACAAATTATTGATGAGACGTTCGAGCAAGCGTCAAGGCTTCCGCTTACCACGCTTCGACGTGGTACCTTCGTCGTTACCACGGTTCTCATAGTGACGACGGCTCGCGCCATTTTCCTCGCGCTTGTGCGAAGATGCACGAGTTGAACGTGGTGATGAGTAATTGTACCCATCACCGTACTCATCACCGCTGTCGAACAGACTTTGACGCAAATCGCGAGTCCGTCTGTTCGGCAGATCCTTTGATGAAAGAAGAGGCACCACAGGTGATTGTGATGACTCTGAAGCCTTTCCCGATTCAGAAACGTCTAATTCTTCGGAGTAGACGACCCCCAACTCGGATTAATCGTGTGCACGAGGTGTGATACCACGTGCGCCTGCGAAAACAGTTGCCGAGGGCTAAGAAGAAGCTGTAGACGACGATTCGCCTGCCGTGGAGGCTTGTGCAGCAACAGGCTTTATCTTCATGGAGTCACCCCGCATAGACATGTTAACTATGCGTGGAAAGACCAGGCATTAATGGATCTGACCAGACAAGTACTCCCTGTCCCAATGGTACCCAACGAGTGAGCACCAAGTTTCGATCGTCACACGGTGAGTATCAGTTAAAAGGGGTGATGTAACGGGGTAGCCTGTTATATAAGGTTGCCATTGTGACAAAATAGTAACGAATAATATTACGTTGAATATTCTGTTAGCTATATCACTAAGTAGATTGATTTTGTTGGGATGACCCACTGGTCTGTTCCTCGGTTGGTATCGTGATTATATCAACCCACCTCTTGCTGCTAGACGCATGCAATAGGTGGTGAGTAGACGTCATCATACTATTAGATATATATCGATATAATGGAGTCAGGACAAACAGAGAAACAAGAGTTGCAGGATTTAATTGTATAAAATACCAGTTTTACTTTTACCACGACTAAAGCCTTTGCCTTAGTCGTTCTATCTTCCTCTGTGTAGTTCCACACTTTGCAGGGCACTGACTATCACTGAAGTCACTGATAGTAAACTCCGTACTGGTTGACCAGTACGTAGACGTCGGTGCCCCGTTTCATTCGTGGTTGTTGCACTTGTGCAAACGACGTAGGACGTAGGAATTAAAAGTAATATATATTGAGTGTTAACTACACTTCGTTGTTAACCCTACCATTTGTAGTTAATGACCAATACTGCAACTTGACCCAGTGAAATTACACCTGGCACACATCCAGCGTGACCATCTCCGTGTGTCATCCCCAGGGATCTTGTCCCATATGACGTCCGTACGTCTTCGTCTTCCGCTTGGACTTCGACATAACAATCTCGTTCCACAGTCCCATATGTCAAGATGTCGCGTCTTGACCCAACCTGTTAACTTGTTAGCCAATCAGGTGAGTTGCCCAAAACCTGTAACAGGTCTGGCCGGCACATCTAAACTAACGTAACCTGTCAGAAACTATATCTTTAACAGCCACATCGGGTGCCTCGACGATGGAGACGACCTCGGCTTGGATCATCCTTCCTACAAGCAGGTCGAAACGCTTGTCGAGCATGCGCGAGTCCAAAACGCTTGTTGTCCGGCCACCACATGAACGATTGAGATAACACATCGTCCAACCAATTGGGGTGGGAAAGCACAGTTCACACAAGACAAACAAGAAAGTCAACATCCATGAACTCGCAGCTAGAAAAGCTGTCACCACGCCTGCATTCCTATGGCTGCGTTCCACGGGGGGCTTGGCCGCGACGCGTGACGCGGCCCAACGCAGTGGGTCGAGAACATTGATCCCCGTCTGCGGCGTTCTTGACGAGTGCACGTGCCGTCTTGCTTCTCTGCACTTCTCATCAGGTCTCGACGCGGGCAGTAAGTCAGCCAGACCGAACAGCAAAAAGCGGCGAGTCAGACACGCCGGGATTTCTGGGTCCCGACTGGCTTTCCGAGTCCAGCTGATCCTGGACCGTGTCCCACCTGGATCCGGCACGGTCTCGTACCGTAAGCTGGGCGCACCCTCCAAAAAGACCTTCGTTTGTACATGCTTCTCGTCCAACAAATGACAGCCGCTTGCGGAAATGTTCCCATGCACTCAATCTCGAGTCTGTTGTGTCTACTACACGAGTGCACAAGGCTGGATTGGAGGTATCGACGCTCATGTAGCGGGTCACGCATTTCCGTCGAGCGTGCGATGTCGTGCGACTGAGCTTACTGTAGGGCCTGGGCAGTGCCCGTCCGAGCTTGTTTACTAACTCGACCACACGACAGACAGGCCTTTTCTTTGTGTGCCGGCTGGCGTTCCGTCAACTGATCCAGTCACATCTGCTTCCAGAACAGCTTCTTGCAACACGTTTGTGCACGACCCGCCAGAGATCCGGTACGTGTGCCAGAAAACTGTCACCAACGACGATCGTCAGAGAATGGACCAGCTCCAGTGTACCACGTGTTGGCAGTCTCGAGTGTGGCGAGCTTGCGAGAGTGAGGTGTCGCACGTACAAAGAGCACACCCTGACTGCAACCATCGAAATTGTCGGGGAAGAAAACCCACACCAGGTGATGGGAGGGCCGTTTCCCATGATACGGCTCTGTGTCGAGACCGGTAAGTACGCGAGCTCTTGTGTCCGTTCCCGCACAGTCACTTTGAGATTGCACCGCTCGTGCCGAGATCTGTCCAACCATGCGTATCTTCACCCTTGCCCTTGTGGCTTCGTCCGCTCTCCTGCCCCGCCCCGACAGCGTCTCGGAGGCTGCGGATCCTGCGCCGATGGAACACCAAGACCTTGCTGTCGCTGTCTTGGCCGCCGATGGCGAGAACTCCCCTCCTAGCAGGGTCTTGAGGTCTCAAGAAACGATGGTGGTGCCGGAGACACTGGAATCTTTCTGGCTGGGACTTCAGAAGTTTGTGGGGGTGGCGGAGAGCGTCGATCAACCCATGCTCCCCAGGCTAGTTAATGTATTTCTACATCATTCCGAAATTCAGGGTTGGTTACGACGGTCTCAACGTGGGGAAAAGGTTATCGTATCTTTTCATGCAAAGGACGCAGATGGTGTGGCCAAACAGCTCTTTGTAATGCGAGAGCAAGAGACGGATTGGGTGGCGAAAGAGGTTGCGAATAGGATCTGTGCAGATTTGGTGACGGGGTGGGTCGAAGTTGGCAAAACTCCGTCTCAAGTGTATAAGCTACTCGACCTGCGTCGCTTGTCTTTTGACGAGTTATTCGTAGAACAGAGAAGTGCAGCCGTCAGCGGCTTAAGGGACTTTTGTGAGGCTGCCAATCCGGGCCGAGGCGAGATTGTTTTCCTCGAAACCGTTATTGAAGGATTCGGTGGTGATGATGCATTCGCCCGTCGTGTTTCCCAACTGACCACGGATGAACTTCTCAAGGTCCAAGAGCACATCTTTCCAGCTGTAAAGCAGATGAAGTCCAACACGCCGATGCTTTCACAAGACGTGTTCTTCTCGAAGTTTTTGGGACATGTTGTCGATGAAGCCACCACATCAGCGTCAACTCCGTCGAAGGTCAAGGTCAATACCGTCTAACGTCGGTGTTTCCCGGCGACATGGGCTTGGCGTTAACGGCACACTCCCCCGGACGTCTTGTGATCGACGTCCGTCATCTTCGAAACGACGACAGCACGAAGAAACGAGGCACGGACACTACACTTTTTCGGTACTGGCGAGCACGAGGGGCCAGGTTCTTGTGAAGAGTCAATGACGCTTTCGTCACACTCCATCATTGACCTGAGCACAATGCTCGCGGCGTGGTGTTCAACTCGCATGGTAGCATCGAACGAATGACTCAGCTACCACAATACAGTTCGAATGAGATCGTTTGCTCGCGTTTTTATGTCTCTACAAGGCTTCACAACAGTCGTCTATCGCCAACAGCTCATGACGATCAACTTCGTACTGGTGAACACTTCGCCAGTGGTTAGTTGGATGCTGAACCCCATCAGAGATGTGCCTCACTCAGCCACTTCTCCACAAAGACGTCACGACGTTCTCGCTCGTTGCGCTCCCGTCGACCTTTTTTGGCGATCTGTTCCGACGCTGCAGCACCGTGGGAAGACGCATCACGATACCATGGCTGGTTTGTCACGTCAGCTGCAGCCCGCACCGACACGTTCGACGTCTCGTACTGGGGTGACCCGCATAAGTTGCTCTCCGCTACGATCGGGCCTTTCGAGATCTGGGTCGTCTTGCCAAGCAGCGCATTCAAGTTCGGACTCAGCATGTGCGTAGCTCCACGGCTCGTCAGTGACCTTTGCGGAGTTGCAGATGGCGACACACACGTTGTGGGACGCACGCGACGCCTGTTCCATCCCTCGAGCATGTGGTGCATCGGTCCAGCCAACGGCTTACCACCAATGCATCTATCGTGCCGCTCACAGTTGCGGCAAAGTATACGATGTGTCCGCCATGTCCCCGCGCTACGAAGCTGTGCAACTCAAAGCAGCTCACCACACAGCCGAGCGTCTGCTGACACACGAGCAGCAATTTGTCCGAGTCAGGGCCATCCAGAACAGAGCCAAACGCCACGATAGAGGTCTATTTCGACCATCGCTCGATACTCGCAGTGAGTTGCAGCACGAACGTCGCCGTGAGGTCTACACGGGCGTCGCCATCCACCGGACCACTAGCGTAAGTCACGTCTCGGCAGCGATCGAAAGGTCCCACGGACTCCCACACTGGCCGTACGCGAGACGAGCCTGCCACCGCACCTGCACGACCAGCAGTCCAGCAACTGCGCGCTCGCCCCGTCCTGGTTGCTCGATATGCCTTTGACGACCAACTTGCACAGAGTCCTCGTGCACGTGCTCAACGACCGTAGCACAGTGCCAAGAGCTCGTTCACCGCCCTGCGTCGCATGCTTCTGACCTGGTCCTCTGTCGCACGGAAGCGACGTCCGACGACTTGAATCAACGAGTGATCCGCCTGTCGCATGCCGTCACGTTAGGGACTTCTTATGTGGCGCCTCGTCTGGACATGAACAAATTCCCATTGCAACGTCGGACAAGCAAACTGAGATTGTAACGGGATGAGTCCGTTCCATGTACTTGCCACCAGATTGGGTCAAGCAGAGTATGACCGTAATTGATGCGATTCACCGATATGTACCTTACTTAGTTTATTCTGACGGAGTATTACCTTTGAAGGTAATACGCAGCACCGCTCCGTGGTGGAGTTGGTTGCGATAGGCCATTTTATCAACAAATCCAACCTGGCAGTCGTGATGCAGCATCATCACAAGGTGGCTGGCCAGGATGGATCAATTAATGACTTCTGCAAGGATACTGCGACTTTCACTGTTTTTGCATTTTAAAGGATGTGTAATCAGATCATTTGCGGGCGGAGATGCCGGCTTCTTTTGCGACAGCTCTCATCGTACCGCTGCGGAAATTAGAAGACTCGGATAATGCTATGGATTATCGCCCAATCTCGTAGCTGCAGACCACTTATCAACTCTTAACAAAATTACTTGCCACCCGACTATAGACGGCCCATCGCGGATCATAAGCGAGTCCCAACAAGGGTTTGTATATGTTAGCCAAGTGCACAAAGCGGTTATGATGATGCTGGCATACAGGACAACAGCTCGTGTGGAGGCTAATGTGGACGTGGGAGACAGCTGGTGCATATTGCTTTTGGACGTATCAAGAGCTTATGACACAGTGAATCGAGGGTGCGTATCGGAAGCTGTACGAACGTTTGATTTTAACACGTCTGCAGTAACGGGGTAGCCCGTTCAATGTGGTTACCATTGTGACAAAATATTAACAAAGAATATTACGTTGAATATTATTTTAACTATATCGCGAAACACAGTAACATTGTTGGAATGGCCGAAGGGTCTACTCATTGGTTGAGATAGTGATTATATCAACCCACCTCTTGCTGCTAGACGCGCGCAATAGGAGGTGAGTAGACGCCATCATACTATTAGTTATATATCAATATAATGGAGTCAGGACAAACAGAGAAACAAGAGTTGCAGGATTTAATTGTATGAAATACCAGGTTTACTTTTACCACGACTAAAGTCTTTGCCTTAGTCGTTTTTGGAGTGCGATCGAGCGAATGAGCTCGACTCTTTGAGAAGAAACTGTTTGGGTCATGCTATCCTCAAGAGATAGGGACCAACAGCATTCCGTCATCCGCAAGTTCTTGCAACGAGAGCTTGATGAGCCGCGAGCGCAGGTGACCTTGTTGCAACAACAAGATCACCAGCGGACTGAAATGCTGAGACAACAACAGTCTCAGTCGGTACTGTCGAAGCGTGAGAGTCGACAGAAGTCTTTAGAGCTAGAGATATTCAAGTACCAGGGAGTCGAGGAAGACTTCCTGTTGAGATGGTTCGTCGAGGTTAGCGGTGCCATCGAGGCTCTTGTTATCGACGATGAGTGAATGCAAGTTGCATTTGCTCTGTTGTGCTTGGCAGGGAACGCTAGGAATTAGGCTCCGAATCTCAAGTTGTACGACCCAAATGTGTTTGAGTCGTTAGGGATATCCAATACCCTGATCAGCAAAACGTTTGAACCGCCAAATGCAGAGTTCAGGACTCTATCAGAGCTCCTGTAACTCTAACAGAGCAAGCGTAAGGTCCACGCTTACGCCCAACATGTGCGTCACCTTGAAAGTTGCATGGTAGTGAACCCTGTAAGTGAATTGTGTCGATCACAGTATTCATTAAGGACTTGCCGATGGTCCCGTCAGAGACCATTTGTTCCTCGGAGAGCTGGAGACGCTCTCAGAAGCAATCTATGCTGCGGAGCAGGAACACTTTTGTGTGAGACAGGTCCATGCTACGCTGACCTCCTATCGTCCACAGAGACGATCAGCGGTCGAAGTTCCAGAACCAATGGACCTCTCTCATGTCGAGGGTTAGATTCCTCGCCCTGCGAGCGACAAGCGATTGCTGAGATGCCATAGATGTCACAAGATGGTACACTACGCATACAAATGCAGTATCCCCCAGACAAAAGAAACCTGTTGCCTTCAAAGGGCAACATGGACATCCTAGGTCGACTGAGAGTCGACCGTAGAGAATCGGTGCCTGACTGTGGTTGCACAGCCACAGTCAGAAGACGTCGAGGGAATAAGTCCCCACGTACTTGAGGAAGACTTTACTCAAGATTCACTTGCTGAAGGATCAGGCCCTCAGCAACCTGTGGAAGCAAGTTTCCAGGAAGAAACGAGACGTTGAACGTCTTGGTCAATGACGGATCAAGCGTAGGCGCTTATACGCTTGATCTGATTGTGCCTCCGAAGTTAACTTCGGAGATAACTCAATTGCCAGAGTTAGATTAAAATGTTCTTATGTGATATGCGCATTGGCAAAGTCAAGTAGGTCACTATACTCTTCGCAGAGGACGCGTACGTCACCGAAATTAGGTCTGCAATGGTGTTTACTGAGAACAAACGAGTTATCAGTAGCTCATCGATGGATAAAGTGTCATCGATGAGAAGCCTCGGATTGAAAGGTATGAATATTAACCTTGGAAGTCGCTTCAGGCAAATCCTTTGTATAAGGATTTGATCGAATTTAAGGATGTATTCCCTGAATCTGTGCCTTGCGAGTTGCCTAAGGACAAAGGCACTCACCATGAGATCGAGCTCAAACCGGGCTCGAAGTACTGTGTCATGAAGCAGTGTCCACTGCCTCGCGAACAAGTACTAGCGATCGATGTGTTCTTTACCGATCGCTTGGCAACGGGTCATGTGAGGGAATCAACTTTCCTTTACAGCTCTGCGACTTTTTTGTGTGCGAAAGGCCACATAAGAATTGTGGATAGTGCACGCATTCAACAAGTTGAATACTGCAACGGTACCGGCTCAGACGCCGATATCAAGGAAGTACGTGATCATTGATGGTATGTCAAAGAGTACCATCTTCTCGTCCATCGATAGGATGGATGGCTTCTATCAGATCCTCATGCGTGAACGGGACATCCCGTACACAGCAGTGAGAACCCCGAGCGGCATGCTGCGGGAGTGGCTAGTGAGGCTAGAGGGGCTGAGTATTGCCCCTTCAACATTTAGTAGATGTGTAACTCTGGTTGACACCAGTGCGGGATTTAGCGCCGAGTTACTTTGACGATGTGTTCGTTCATAGCCAGGCTATGGACGGAAAGACGGACGTTGAAGTCCACAGAGCACACGTTCGTCAGGTAGTTCAACTTATGGGCAAGCATAAGTTGTACGCCAACCTCAAGAAGTGTATATTAGCGGCTAGCAAAATACCGCTTCTTGGGTGCACCGTGGGTAAACACGGCGTAGGCCCTGATTCCGAATGGATCAAGGCAATCACCGACTGGCCCGTGTCAGCTGATGTCAAGGGACTAAGGAAGTTACTTGGTCTAGCGGCGTACTTGCACAAGTACTCGCGCAACTACGCCGAGATGACTGTGCATCTTTCTTGTTTACTCAAGAAAAATGTCAAGGGGTCATGGAACGCTGACTGTCAGCGTTCCTTTGAAGGTATCAAGCAGAGCTTGACGCGATCGCCCATACTGGCGATTGCAGATCATGACAGACCATTTCACGTGGTCTGTGACGCCAGCGATTTTGCGATAGGCTTTGCGTTGATGAAATTTGACACAGATGGTGCAGAGGTGTCATCTGCTATCAATCGAGTCAGCTGCAAGCAGCTGAGCGTAATTACCCCGTGCATGACAAGGAACTACTTGCCAAGAATTATGCGCTGGCTATGTTTCGCGTCTATCTCCTGGGAGATAGACCGTTCATCGTATATACGGATCATGTTTCACTACGCACGGCCGTAAAACAAACTCTCGTATAGAATGGCGAGGTGGATGTCTTTCTTCGCGGAGTACAACTTCTCCGTGGAGTAAAAACCATAACGACTAAACATCGTCGCTGATGCGCTATCACGTCGGCCCGGTTTAGAGCCGACTACACACGTCAACAGTGAGATATTGCCTACTGTTGCGGCGCTCTCAGTTCGTGTACAGACATCGAAGTTACTCGCCGACGTGCGGAAGCAATACGTAGGAGATAAGGATACCCTACGCTTGGTGGATCACCTTGCAAATCCATCCTGGAAATCCTTGTCAGATTAACCGGCTTCATACCGTTCCTTATTGAATCGATATACGATTTACAACGGGTTGCTGTACTACACATCAGTTGCAGACGACACGCCTCGTGTTGTCGCACTCGATAATGATGATTTGCGCTTGCGCATCATGTTCGAATGTCACGACGCGCCAACAG